ATTACCAATAGATACAATATTTTTTTCTCTATCACTTATTGGTTTTAAAAAATAATTAAAAAAAACATTTTTATTGTTCTTTGTCAAAGATATCATCRTAKTAGAATTAATTATTTGTATCGATTCAATAAAAATATAAATACTTGGATGTTTGATCCTGACAATATGTTGAAATTTATTGTTGAATGCTTCAGATATGTTATTAGTGCGGGCACAACCTTTTTTTGATACATTATATACACTCCATAAATGTGGTGGAAAAATCGGTGGTTGGCGTTTTAGATACGTGGTTTCGAATTCCGTAGTAGTTGCCTTATTTCCTTTGACGTGCGTATCATCAAAATAAGTTGAGATGTGGTCTACATCGTCATTGTAATTAATTGTGTCATACAATATAGATATTCCTAAAATAAAAAGTAATAATAAATAATTTAAATAATKAAATAATAATTCATATTTTATTACCTTTTTTAAACATATTTACAAGTAAGAATGCCAAAGCACTTATTAATTTCACAGCTTGTCTGAATTGTTTATTTTCTTTGTATTTTATGGCTAGTCCTAATTCTTGGACTTTTCTCCAAATAGATTGATTCAAGTGAAAATAGCATAGTTGGATTGTAACTTCATTTTAAAATACAACTTCAATTGCTTTTATCACAGCTTGTTCGAAATCACTAACCGAAGTACAATATTTTTTTAACACCATTAGCATTTCTATATAGGTTTCTTTCGTTTTTTTCTGCAGTAATACGTACACTATCRGTAAACTGTTTTCCTCTATTTGAGCATGAATAACATAATATACTTGAAAGAAACCTCGTGGACAGGTTGCAAAAGTGCCATCCATAAATATATGTTTTGATGATGATAAAAATTTTAAACATAATCGTGAAGCAAAAACTAAAATTCTATTCTTATTATTTTTGTAGTCATAAAGAAGAAATTGCTGTGAACCTTTTCCACCAGAAGTGGCCCATTTTGAATTGTCCAAGTTTAATTAATTTATTGATTTTAACTTTGGGTAATTATTACTGCGAATTCGTTGTAAAGATCGTTTCAAATTATTTTCAATAGGTATTTTTTTCCTACCTTCTTCAGATAAATTCGTTTTTTATTGGACGACAGTAGGTGCCATTCAAAAAAGTACAGTGYCATTAATATTTTTAAACATAAACGATAAATCTTACATAAAAATCAGCCAGGCAACTGGCAAATTACATGAGTGTATAGTGGTTATATATTGTAAAAATCTTTTTTGAAAATTTTAAGTAAGCACTTATCTAACATATACTTATATAACATATCATCCAGTTTATCTTGATAAATTGAAAATTTACTAGACTAACATTTTTTTTGCATATTTTGATGTACAAAAAAAAAAAGCAATATTTATATGAGACTTGGTGTTAAATGTTTAAACATTTTGACCAAGTCTATAAATGTTTATTATCACTTCCAATTTGAAAATTTAAAATTAAGTGAATAAATTTATTAAATTTAAAATGCCTTAAATTTGATCTAAATATTTTAAAATTGTATTGCTTTTAAATAATTGTTGATTATTTAATTAGCAGTAAAATGTTTCAAGTTCCCATGTAAATTATTTTTTTAAATTACTTAAAGGAAACTAAAATAATTTAATCAGATCACTATTTTACACAATAATTACATTTGAATATCCAAATTTGTAATAATTTAAACAGAGGCTTGGAAAAAAATATTTGTGAATTACACATGCATTGTATTAATTTTGTATATTGTATAAAAGTATACTTAATAAAAAAAAGTATAATATAAAA